GCGAAGGAAGAAATCCTCCGTCGCCCAAAAGACCCCAAGTCTTAGCCATGGCTCGACCGACTCCACACGAACGAGCTCCTCATCGTCTGCACCTCGATCGCGGTCCTCGCTCGACCCGGGAATGCAACTCGACCGGGGCATCACCGAGAGTCCGACAGAGATCCGGATCGCCCACGTTGTGGACTTGCCCAAAACCCAGGCGCAGCCCGTCACCATCTACCCCGAATTAGATCGATACAGAGACTATGCCTACACCGGACGACCATCAACCTCCTCCGAGGGCTCCAGCGTGGACTTCCTCCACAGATTGGCTACTCACGACCTGCCGCCTCCGACGCCCGTGTTTTCTGGAACAAGCAGCCAGCTGAGCGCCTTCAGCGGCAGCCCCTCGACGAGATTCTCCGAGTCGCCCGGCCCAGGACCGTACAGCCGAGACACGACTCCCACGTCAATGTCGTCACAGTCACCTGGCCTGGTGATCCCGATGCGAACCCCTGCCCCCCGGACGAGACAGTTGAGCCCGGCCGTAACCCGGCCACCAGTGACCCGGAGAAGAGCCGGAAGCGCGAATGAGATGGATGCGTTTAGCGCCGACCCCCAAGGTCTCGCCGCCGTCCGCGAGTCTCTTACATCCTCGTCGTCAAACTCCACCGTGAGGGAGGTCGAGCGGAAATCGTCCGTAAAGAAGAAGAGGCTGTCGCCCCTGCCCCCGAGCCCGCCGCCCCGCAAGTCGTCGCAGAAGTTCACCCAGAGTCCCGGCAATGACGAGTCCCCGTCCAAGGCGGCCAGAGAGCCGGCCATGCCCATCATGACCCCGCCGTCACCGGTGCAATCTCCCCCGCGTCTGATGACAAGTGCTTCGCCCCGTCAGACACCGCCAGCCCGTCCCAGCAGGGAGAACACCCCTGACCTACAGTCACAGCTGTTTGGGCCGCTGCCCATCATCCACAGCAACCTCTCGTCTGCGTCCCTGGTCAACGACAGGCGCCCGGAGCCGCAGGTCCTCTCGCGGTCTGTCACGCCTCTATATTCAGAGAAGCCTCCGCAATCCCGCCTGCCCGCAAGCAGAGAGGCCACGCCGGCTCCTCGACCAGCGACATCTGACAAGAAGAAGGAGCGCCCGACTCGCACTCCCAGCCCTGGAACGTCGGCGTTCAGTCGCTTCCCCTTCTTTGGTCGTCGCAAGACGGCGCCCGAGGTCACTCAGGTCGACAAGAAGGAGAAGCCGGCACGCAAGGGGCCTGCCGCTGGCACCGGGCACGAGGGCTACGGACGGCTGGGTGCGATTCGGCGACGAAGCGGCAGCTCATCCGCCAACGGGGCCCGCAACAGCATGGGCCCTGCCTCGTCCCAGGACAGTCTCAGCAGCAATCAGCCAACCGACACCTTCCTTCTGGAGCGCATGAACCCCGTCATCATCTCTGGCGGCGGTGTCGTTGAGAATAGGAACAACAGCGTCGACCTGCCTCGTTCGGAGAGCAACCAGAGCCTCGGGTACGCCTCAGAGACGTCAACCACCTCCAGCACTGGCCGATTTGGGCTCGCCCCCTCCGCCATTCCTCGCGGTCCTCACCCCTCCCTCAGCCACCGCCGTCCTTCCGACAGCAGCGACTCTGAGGCCGTCACCATGAAGTCCACTTTGGCTTTCAGGAGGTCCGTTCAACGGCTGAGGACGTCGCCCGACCAAAGCCCTCTCAAGCTGCCGCAGCCCATCAACACCAGCGGCATCTCGGCGCCGTCAATGGACAGCCACGACACCACCATCTTGTCTGACGACTCCCAGTTTGAGAAGCACAGAGAAGTCATCCGCGGTCGCATTGCCGCAGCCACCGCGACGCCGCCTAAGAAGCTCACCAAGCGAGCTCGCTCTCCAAGCAGGTGGAAGCTCTTTAGCAGATCTCGGAGCCAGCCCAACAAGAAGGAGCCCGAGCCCGTTCCCGTTGCTGCCACCGTCAAGGTGGTCCAGCACAAGCCGGCCGCCTTTTACACGATGATGGACGGCTCCGAGCAAGAAGACTCTGGACCGCCAGATGTTGAGGAGATTCTCCGCGAGGCAGCTGTGTTTGACCTGCCGTCTCCACCGCCGATTAAGGAGACAGTCAAGGAGCGACGGGCATCCACCACAAGCCAGGACCAAAGGAGAGAGTCGCTGTCGAGGCTCACTCAGCCGACAAAGTCTTCACAAGCACGCAGGAACTCTGCCTCTGCCAAGCCGACCTCAACATCCATCCCTGCCATCCGCTCCATGAAGACGCAGGCTTCGCAGTCCAATGCTGCCAAGCCAGCTGAACGCCCCAGTCGTTTGCCTCAAGTTGGGCGCATCCCAAAGGTAGTCACCTCTCGACCCGAGCACACGTCGTCGAGGAGTTTCTCGCGCCCATTCAACAGGATCAGCATGAGCATGCCGCCGGACGATGCAGGCTTCAACCCCGACTTCGTCGCCTCTGGCCCAACCCCGGAGCTTTCTACCCCGGAGCTCTCCCGCGGCGAGTCCGCTGCCACCACCGCAACCAGCGTCGAGACCAACTCAGATCCACGCTCGTCCATTGTTCCCCTCAAGACGCCTGAGATGGTCCAGATCGGCCGCGAGTTCCTCGCCTTCTCTCCCCGAAAGAACTCGGAGTGCACCACTAGCACTTCTTCCAGCGGCGGGATGTACACCATGGCTGACGCCCTTGCTTACGTTCCGGACCCCAATGCGCCCCTCGTGGAAGATGAGATCTGGGACGAGTACAACGATCTCATCGGCGAAGTCCCCCCTTCGGCAACCTCTTCCAAGGGCATTCCCTTCCATCTTGAAGGCCACGATGGCAGACTCTCCAAGCGCTCCCTCAAACCCCTGGAATCACCCACCATTGTTCCGCCCAAGGCTGCCGAGAAACCCATCGAAAACTCCACCGCGACCTCGTCGAGCGTCTACAGCGCAGACATGACTGAGCGCTTGAAAGCTGCCTTTGCTCTCAAGCCCGAAGCCAGCTCCAACTCCCTGACCCTGATCCCCATTGCCGACGTTCCCGCCAGCGCGATCGACCGCGAGAGCACCGAGTTGGCCCGCAAAGCCACAATCACCTCCCAGCGAAGCAGCAACTCCTCCCGCAGATCTCGCCAGTCCATGTCCAGCTGCAAGTCCTCGGAGGACGAGTCTCCTCTCTCCCAGGTAAACCTCCGCGTCGGCTCCATGACGGTGTCCAAGTGGCTCTCCTTTGGGCACGTCCTCTTCTCCCCGGCGCGTGACCAGCTCGTCCCCGTCGTCGGCTCCCTCAAGCGCCACTCCATTCTCGTCGTTGACGGTCTAGGCAACGACGACTGGTCGTTTTACGCAGCAGAGACGTACCCAGCCGCAACCTTTTTCAACCTATCTCCGCGGGCGCCGCTCCCCGACGAACACAAAAACTCCTCCAGCTTCCCCTTGAGCCCGCCCAACCACCACCAAATCCAGTACCTCTCCCACACCGCCAAGTTTCCCTTTGGCCCCGAGTCCTTCACCTCGGTCGTCTTTCGCTTCCCCACCGCCGCCCCGGAGTCCCACTACCGCAACATCATCTCCGAGGCCCGCCGCGTTCTCAAGCCGGGCGGCTACATTGAGCTCTCGATCCTTGACGTCGACCTCAACAACATGGGCAATCGCGGACGCCGCACCATCCGCCGGCTCAAAGAGCGCATCCACGAGCGCAACCCCGAGATCAACATCAGCTCCAGCTCGGACCTGATCCTCCGCCTCCTCGGCCGCAAGGGCTTCACCGACGTCAAGACCTGCCGCGTCGGCGTGCCCGTGGCCAGCGTCGTGCCTCGGACCGAAGGCGGCAGCAAGCCCCCGGTGACCCGCAAGGCCAAGGAAGTCCGCAGCCTGGCCGAGATGATGAACGACGACGGCGACTCGGCGGACGAGAACATCACCAAGATGGTCGCCAAGGTCGGGCGGTGGTGGTACAGCCGCTGCTACGAGAGCGCCGCGGGGACCGCCGTCAGCCGCAGCATCTGGGGCGATCGGGCCCTGCTTGCGGAGTGCGAAGAGTGGCGGACCAGCTTCAAGCTCATGGTTTGCTACGCACGAGTCCCCGAGAGGGCCCGCACTGCGAGTATCTAACAGAATTTCTTTGTTTTATTTCAGCGTTTCATAACCCTCGTTTCGTATCCTACATACCCCTGATTTCTTATTCAAAAGGCATCATTATCAGGTTCCGGAACAAGAGGAAGATCTCGCATCAAAGATTCAAGAGGGCGCAAGCCCGTCTGCAACACCAAACTGGTGTTGAATTTTCTATATCATCACACAAGAGCAAAGCAGCCGGTAGACACAGGACGGCGTTTGCGTGGCCCGCCCGACCCCTTGACTGGGTTGTCGGTCGCGGTTGTATCCCATACTATCCATCTCTTATCTCTTACAACACACCACTGGCGACAGTTGTAATTCATAGTATAGGGTCACGGAACCCTCCTGTATCCGCCGGCCTGGCTGCGCCGAGGCATCAAACCTCCCCTATCATAACACCCCCAAAAGCGATCAAGGCAACACGATATTTGTCTATTTAATGTATTTCATTCTTTTACCTTATCTGCGATAGGACATATTTTGGAAACGCAATGGAAGGGAAAGCAGCGCTGGACTGACCGGAACACCACGACACATTCTACTTTGGAAAAACACGGAATTAGGGAAACATAATCTGGATTGGCAGGGCCGTTCGCTCTTTTCTTCGTCTTGTCTGGGACATTTACTTTCATTCGAAACGGGGACAAACCGAAGAAAAAAGCGCGCGGGACGACTTTGGAAAGAAGGCCATGGGTGGAAAGAAAAAGACGATGATGAAGCACGACATGATCGATGATGACAGAAAAAATGCGTTGGATGATGTCTGGACTGTCCTTTAGCGTTGCATGGCATGAGATACCCCCACCCAATCTTTGGTAGCGAAATCGATATTATTCTTCAACGATCCGTCCAGTTTGGTCTTTCGGTTGCAATGTATGCCGTGATGCCCGACTCTATGTCTCATACTTCATCTTTTCCGACGCTCGGTAATATCTTTCATATTTTCCAGAGTCTCGTGTACTCTCCGAAAAATAGATTTGACGTAGGCCCTCCTCAGGTCCTCCTCCGTTTCCGAGATGTCAGCCCAGTCTTCGGCCGCGGCGTCGGCGTCGCTATCGATGCTGCCCTGTCTCTCCTTCACCTTGGTCTCGACCACAGCCGCCTCACTGTTCTCGCCCTCGACCTGGGCATCCTTCTTATCGGTGTCGACGTTCTCCATGGCGGCGACTTTCTTCTCGTTGGCGTTGGCTTCTTTCTCGTCGACGGCGACTTGATTCTCCATGCCAACCTTCTTCATCGCATTTTTCTCCTTCTCGGCAATGGCCACCTTCCGCTCTTCAGCCTCCTTCTCCGCCTTTTTGGCAGCGGCCTTGGCTCGTCTGGCCTCAGTAAATCGGGAAGTTCCAGTGCCCTGGTGACTAGGTAAGCACTAGGAGGATGAACGAAGACAGATATAAAAAAGGGAAATTCAGGGGAAACTGACAGGTGCCTTCTGCGGCTTCTAACCCTTTTAGCTACCACTGTCGACATCTCCACGAAGGACCGCGTTGATGATGGCAGTCGCGTTGCGCACGTCGGCGGCGGAGAGGTAGCGAAGAGCCCCTTCCCCGAAGAGGGAAATGCCACCCTGGGTGGAGTTATTCGTTGGGTGTTTTCATGCGGTATTCATGAACCCGATGGGCTAATGCTGGGCTTCTCGGGGCGTTGAGGGGGGGGGTTGGAAGCGTGGGGTTGTGATGAGATGCACGATGCTCAGTATATGGTAGAGAAGGAGGAGGGGAAAGTGCGAGCTCGCACGCGGATGGAGAGATCCCTGATGAGCCGTTCTCTGAGGATTTTGGCAGACCTTTGCTCGTGTTAGGAAGGGGCGAGATGCTATTGCCTTCCATTTGGGATACAGACCACCCTTTTCTTGCTGCGCTAAATCGAGAGTGTTTCCTCCAGACTCTGTTTCGGTCTCTCCTCTCGTCACCTTCGTAATTGCTCGTCTCCATCACTATTATCACACTTTAGTACAACACAGCTTCCAATGAGCATCTGATATCAGTACACGAGAATTGTAGCGACATGGATGTAGGGAAGATATGCGGTCCTCTGAGGCAGACCCTTGGATACTGCAGTGATATAAGTAGAATATTTGCCGCATAATACAACTGCATGTCCTCGACAACTTTCGGTTTGCGCGATCCCATGGCCATCGTGGTCATACAACCTAACCTAGCGTTGAACTGGTCATACGCATCAATACTAGACTCAGTTTCTGAACAGAGACTGAATCGAAAACAGGGTAGAAGTACTCGCAGGTAACGTCAGACGCCACAATTCCAAAGTTACGGCGCAGGCCAAACGAAAAGATTCCAAAGAGTTGACGGACACCATCATACCTCGGCATAACCAGGCTACGGTTCAATGAATGCAAAACTATTAGCTATGTCAAGGACTGGAATACAATGGCACTGGAGCCACCAAGTTTGCCACAAAGGGTCAACTCAGCGTCCTGCCTATAAGATGGTGAATAATCTTGTTCTCCCGGGCCTCTCTCGCTCGATTGCGTTTCTCGAAGATGGAGCAAGCGAGGCAACCCAAACCCCTGCATCTCTTCCGTCCCCATACACGGCATAATCTGTCAATCTCTGAATTGCATTCCTAATTTGCGTCCCCAGGGAACACAACCTTCGCAATCTTGCCTAAACCATCCAAAGCATATGCCTCCAAGGCCTCGGCTGGATCCAACAACAGTTCAACGGCATCAATGTTGTTTTGTGCTGCGGACTCCTCACTTTCAATCTCGTCGTTTCGTAACACCACAGACACGAGAGTCGAACCGATGTGAGAGGCGTATCTGAGAATCGATCTGTAGTCGTCCTCCTAGACGGCTTCCTGCCAGATGGTTATTCCATGCGGCATCCACTGGTTTCCATGGACGCCGGCTCCCGCTTCCATCAAGACATGAGCTGTGGTGTAATGTTGGTGTAGAATTGCCAGAATGCAAGCTGTTCGGGGCCCGTTCATTGGCCACTGCATATCTTCCTGCCAAGTGTTTCCCACACAGCAGCCACAAATGTTGACAGAATCTTCGAAGATCGACACGCCTTGCTGTATAAGCCATTTGACGACCTCGGTGTGGCCATGCATGGCTGCGTTGTGAATGGCTCCGTGCCTCTGGCCCGTACTGAGCAGCACCTTCTTCTCTCCTTTCCCTCGCACTTCCAGAGGCAGACACTCCCTGGGTGGAAATACGTACCAGTTCCAACCCGTATATTCAATCGCTCCAACGTTCTGGCCGTAATATAACAATAGCTGCAGGATGTCAATATGTCCCTTTCTAGCCGCCCAAGTCAGAACCCGGTTCTCTCTGCAGGGTTTCCGGATTTCTCTGCGATATAGAAGTGGTTTAACGAGGCCATATAGATTACGTGACACTCTTCCAAAACGTGAGAGGTGTGCTGAGTCCATCAGATAACCGGCGATGATCAGACGGACCTCCGGAGGGAGGTTGTTGAATGTTGCCATCCTGCCTAACCGTTGTCAGTGACGTAGGAAGGGGGCTTTGCGTGCAGTTGCCTGCGCATACAGTATCACCGACTTAACTATGCGTGTAATCCTTTTGTCAAAAGCTCTGGCATCTGATGGCAATGGTGGAAGGATATTGGTTGAAGTCCTGGCTTTGTCTGGTGGAAATGTTGATGATTTGGTGAAGTTGGGGCAAAGGAGAGGAAAGGTACGTCGATCAAGCATTTTGGCAGCTTGACACCTTCCCATCTCACCTCAATCGTTTTCTCGCCCCTTCCTTTTCGGGACAACTCACCTTCTGGTCCTGCCAACATTGCTGGAAACGCTCAAAAACCCAAATCTGAAATTGCAATTTTTGGAACCGCCTTTTGTTCCTTCCTTTTCGCTTGCCTCTGCGATCCCCAACTTTCCTCACCTCAGCTTTTTTCACCTTCACCTCGCTCTCCTCTTCACCTCTGCCACTACCACGCTTCCACAAACAAATTACACACGCCGCAGCGTGGTATTTTCCCCAACGCAAGGGAAGAACCAAACAGACTGAGACGAAGACACAAACGTCGCCGACTATGATGGCAAAGCTAGAAACCCTCCCCAACGAGCTACTCTTCATCATCTTGAAAGATGTCCGAGACATCCGGGGCCTCGCTTCCCTCGCCCAGATGAACCGCCGCCTAAACGAGGTTGCGACGCCCTCCCTCTACATGGCAGCCGCAAGGAAGAAACGACACCAAGCCCTCGTCCACTCAGCCAAGATGGGCAACATCGCAGCGCTCGAGGTGCTCCGAGTTTGCGGCCAAAACCTCCGCGCAACAGTCAACAACAAGAAGGAGCTGATCAAGGCATGGGTTCAGAAGCAGGCACTCATTAGCAAACGGGATAAAAGCTTGGAGCGCCTCAAAAAAGACATCCAGAAGCTAGAACGCGCCAGAAGCATGCTCAACTACAAGAAGTACCCCGAGATCAAACCGCCGGGGTGGAAAGATGAGGCAGACGAAGAGATCCAGAAGAAACGCCTGGAGATCATCGAGATCGATAAACGCATCGACGACTTCAAGCGTATTATCGTGGACCCTCGCCAAGACGCGAAAAGAATCGTTTATTTTCAGGAATATGGAGCTCTCCACTGGGCGGCCTTCTTTGGACAATCAGAGACTGTTCGCTGGCTACTCAGCAATGGAGTCAATCCTAGGCAGGCATGCTTCCTTCAGTGTACCTGGATTTACGCCAGTGGCAACGAGTATCTTCGTACCTACACCAACGCCCTGCATCTAGCCTTTGACCTTGGACGTTGGGGCGTCGTGCAGGTCTTTTCCGCCAACAAAGCAGGCCATGCCATAATGTACGACACATCGCTTTGGGAAGAAGCTATCCAGGAGGACCAGGCAAAGCCGGCAATGAAGTTTGCTGTTTCCGTCGCATCTAGCTGTTTCCACGACGACGCTGGTCTGCTGAAGCAGAAACCTTCAGAGAAGAGCATCATCGACTCCGTCAACTTGCTTCTTGACCCACTGGATTGTCTTGAAGCACACTGCGACGCCGAGCCGGAAGACATCATTTTATGGAACGAGCGAAAGCAACGGCTGTTGGAAAAGCAAAAAGGCCAAGTGTTCAAGCGCGCCGAAAGAAAAGCGCAACGGAAAGAGAGTCTGTGGGATTCTCTGCAGGTAATCGCAGATCACAAGACCCAAGAGGCGGCAAAGCAGCACCGCACAGTAAACCATCAACTGCGAGTTGAACTTGGCAAGCCGTGTCGTCGTTGGGGCAGAAAGAAGTGCCGAGGTGAAATGGCTGGTTGCTTCGGATGCACAATGTACGGCGAGACCTTCTGGTACGATGCCCAATTAAGTGCAAGAAAATTTTATATCAATCCTCCAGCCTGAGTCGGATGCATGGGAGATGTGAAGTCACGGACATGAGATTGAGGATATGAGGTCAGGGACAGAGCATGCGAGATTCGAGTCATTCCGTGTATGGAGTTATTGCTTGGTAGATACGCTATGAAATGCAGTTGTAGAGTCTTATGCTTCTAAACGAGTACATCCCACTTCAGCGCGCAAGATTTCCGCGACCTCGTTTTCGACATTCCCAAACCGAATTTCCACAATGCCACCCAGACTCTGGCCATTGAGTCTTCCAAGACACCTCAGTCGACCATTGTGCCGGTACGCCAGCTCGGGACGGGTCATCCAAGGTACGGAACCATTCTCCACCACCCAAACGACTTCCTAACACCCACCAGAACACGATGTAATCGTCCTCCGCCAGCGCGGCGACCGCGAAGCCAAATTCCACCTCTCCCCTCCCCTGCGCAGGGACGGCAAGATCAAACTCAGCTACGGCGCAAGGCTCGACGGCTCAGACGTCATCGGCAAGACCTTCACCGACGCCGTCAAGGACACCACCGGCCGCGATGTGAGGCTGCAACAAGTCACCCTGGCGCAATACGTCTCAAACTCCCCACGAATCGCAACGCCGGTACGAGAAACGCCCTTGATCGCATAGCACCGGGAACCGCAGACTGACGGGTGCAGGGTTAGATCTACCCCCAAGACGCCAGCATGATCGTCTCCGTCCTCGACCTCAACGTGCCGTCCCCCGGCGAAGACCCGGACTTTGACGACGGCCCGCCGGTCGAGATCTTCGAGGCCGGCACCGGCATGGGCGCGCTGACGCTGCACCTCGCGCGGGCAATTCACGGCGCGAACCCGCCGGTGCCGCTGAAGCTGCGCGAGGCGCTGTGCACGGCGGAGTACGAGAGGAACACGCTCCCGCGGAAGCCCGCGACGGACGATGATGCGCCGGAATATGCGCACTCGCCGCACGCGCTGCAAATTGCTGACCCGGAACTCGCCGAGATGCACGCGAAGCACGTCGCCAGCCGCCGCGCGATTCTCCACACCCTGGACATCAATCCGACGTCGAGCCGCATGGCCCACAAGCTCGTCAGGTACTTCCGGCGCGGCCTGTACCTCTCCGACGTCGACTTCCACGTCAGCACGATCCGATCGTACCTCTCGACCCGCCTCGCTGAGACGGACGGCGAGCCGTTCCTCGCGCACGTCATCCTGGACCTGCCGGCGTCGCAGGAGCACGCGGACGTCGCGGTGCAGGCGCTGCAGCCCGGCGGGAAGATGGTGGTGTTCTACCCCTCCATCACGCAGATCCTCGAGTTCGAGATGTGGGCCAAGGAAACGGGCCAGCCGCTGGTCCTGGACCGCGTCGTCGAGCTGCACACGTCCACGTCAAACAGCGATTCCGGGTTCAAGGATGCCCTCGGCGGAAGAAACTGGGAGGTCAAGGCCGTCGGCATCCGCAAGTTTGAGCGGGCTGGGGAGACGGGGCCCGCGTCGAGGGGGTATGTCTGCAGACCCAAGGTCGGTACCCTCGTTGTTGGGGGTGGCTTCTTGGCTGTGTTTAGCAGGATACCGAAGAAGTCTTCTGTTGAGGAGGTGGTGGAGGAAGTTGAACAAACGGAGTCTGAAGAGGCTGAGACAGAGGGCCAGCAACCCGAGGAGGACACTCAAAGGCCCCAGTGAAGTGGAGAGCTCCAGAGGCCGTAGGCTAAACACAAGGGCATTGTATACAAATGATAGACCTGTACAACCAAAATGATAGATGAGGTGCAACCATCCAAGAGGGTCAATGCCGTGATCAGTTGGCATAGCAAAACTATGAATGGAAATGATCATAGCAGGCCTAGGGGCAAAACAGAAGGGCAAAAACATACAACACCGGGCATTCGCCGGTCGTCACCGACCCGACTACTACTCCAGCCCTCACTGGCTTATCTATGGGAGAGCGGACGGGATCCCGAGTTCTCCAGTGGGTATGGTCGTATGTGCTGGGCCTGAGAAGCAGAGTTGATTATATTGTCACGAACAGACAGGTTAGCGGTTTATCCTTGCAGCAACACCACATTAGAGAATTGTACCATTTCGAACCGCTCAAGTCTCAAGTCACTTATTTCGTTTTTTGAAATCAAGCTTGTATTTGTCTAGTTTACTTGGTGGTCCTGTTGAAAAGCCAGCTGCTAACCTCTTCTTCGACGTTGGCAGTGGTGTTGCTCACAGTCGAGATACAGTGCAAAGTCTGACCTTCACACTGCGCCGTCCACTCACAATCACAGCGTTTACATCACCAACCTCACTCGTTCACTCAACAAACGGCCGTCACCCTCGAAACCACGGGAAACCATTAAAAATGGCAGCAAGCAGCGTCACTCAGCTCTCCATACCCCTCCCTCGGTCCCTGGATACCCGCATCCACATCCATCTCACCGTCAAGGCTAAAACGGCCACCCTGTTCCTCACATCGACGGCTCAAGACGAGCCCTCATCGACTGCGGCTCTGGGATCCTTCGTCTACGCCCTGCCCAATGTACGTCTTCCAGACACAAACTTCTGATCACCCACTGACCGCCCGCAGAGACTTGATCCCGCCCAGCCTCTTTCAACAGCCATCTACTCGGTAGAGTCGACCGTCGAGTTCGCTACCCGAATGGCCAAGCTGCTCGCCAAGCGGGCCAACATGCCCGTCTACGTCGGCTGCTCCGTGAACTTGGGCGGAACGGCCATGGCCCTTTCCGTCGAGGAAGAGATGGAGGCGTTCCGCGCCGTCGTCGACGTCGTCACGGCGAGGCTCAAGGGCCAGGCACCCGTCAACGGGGTGGCCTGACGTGTGTGTGCCTGCGGATGCACGGATCAAGGGAGAGGCGGAGGACTTTCAGGAGAAGGACAGGCGCCATCGCACAGGTCTACTGTCTCTGATTGCAAGCGCTGCATTCGAGAAGGCCCTCCCCCAAAGCAGATGAGATGCTGGTTGCACCTTCCCGAAGCGGCCAGCGGCGGCGGTTACACGGGGGCTGGCGGGGGCGATATGCGGCGTGCCGGGCTCGCGAGTTTGTCTCAGCGGACCGGTGGAGGGGCGGGCGAGACATGTGGCCTCGGGCCGTCGTCAGGCGTGGATTACGGCCATCGTCCTGGCACTGAAGGCCGAATGGCAAACTTATGATTTGAACGCTGTGGACATCGAGATCACGCAAGTGTCACGGTACTTTGGTGTCCAGAGTCATGATGAATATACAGATACCCAGGACCCGTCGCTTGGACTGCGGCTTAATGTCATGGCCATCCCGTGCCCACGTTTTGACGTCTTCTGGAAAGTGTTTGCCTTGACAGGCAAATAAGGCTAGGACGCGGCCATGTTAAAAGGGAATGCGGTCGTCCGTTCTTCTCTGCGGGCCACATGGCCGTGTTTGGTCCCGTTTCGTGGCAGAAGTTCGGCTCATGTTTGCGGAAAATACGCTCTGACAAGTCACAGGATCTGCACGTAATACCTTGAACCTGGGAAATGCTTCTACGAGGACCGCACAGGTTTTCCGGTCTTTCTTCTCGATACCGCCGGAGGGCTGCTTCTGGGGCTCGATGACTCGGGCGAGGGAGGAGAGCATGGAGTCAGTCTGTTTGGTCATGATCCAGAAGCATCCGCCCGCAGCAACTCTGTCCTGTCGAGAGTACGGGGCGGGGACCCCTGGCGGCGTCAGGTCGATGGGACCCATGGGTTTGATCCTCGCCCCCTTGGGGAGGTTATGCTGTGTGGTGCCCTCGCGGGCTCTCTTGGTGGACTGTAATGTGCCCGGAGGCGACGGAAGAAGCAATGTTGACGACAGTCTGATGGCGGTCTATGTCACTGTGGGTGCGTGTAGCTTGCTCCTGCTACTGGTTCGCATTGTGCCCGCCGCTGGTTGTGCAACGCGGTGGAGTCCCACTGCATTTTGGCAACATCAAAGGCCAGATGCAAGATGCAGGACAGAACCGGTTGGGCTGGCTGGGCGGCGGTATCGTTGCAGGACAGGGGACAAGTGTGCAGCATTCCAGTTGGCATGTTTCCACGGTCGTCCTGTCTCGACGGGATTCGAACAATGGTAGACGGGCACAATGGGATTCCAGAAGGGAGGGAAGGGCGTCTGGAAAGCTTCTGCTCGGATTCCAGTGCGAAACGGCAAGAGCAGGCGGAGGTCCACTGTCTGAGATAAAAGCCTAAGGTAAGGTTGGGTGGTGAACCCTGGCGGGGTCATTCCTGCTTGTCGGGGTCACAGGCGACAAGAGGGAAAAAGGTTGCCCATTTTGCCTTTGGGCGTTATCGATAAAAAAAAATATCGCCCGTCCAAGTTTGAACCACGAAGAAAGAGGAGGAGCGAGGGGTAGACAGGAAGCACGGGCCATGTCTTCAGGATGGCGAGCTTGGGGCAGGCATTTCATTCAAATTTTTGGTGTTGGCAGCAGCAGCAGCAGCAGCAACAGCAGCAGACGGGTGGGTGTGGGTGTGCATGTGGCATGGGAGGCAACGCAGCGCACCTCAGCAGACCACACCCCATTCACACTGGCGCAGTGCATCAACGCTAGCAAAAGTGGAAGGACGGGCGGACTGGCCAGACTGACACACGCGCGGCGGGAGTGGGAAGGATGGACGGACTGAGGGACGTGGAGGTCGCCGTCGAGGTCGAGGCTGCACTTGCACTTGCTTGCACTTGTTGAACCGGTACCGGTACTGGTACTGGAACGGGTATTGGTGCTGGTGCTGGTACTGGTGGTCAAGTGTGAGGTAGGTAGTGCGTCCTCCCATTTCCGCCTTTTCTCAGGTTTTTCCTGGTTCCTGTCCAACCGTCTCCTCTCTCAGCTCCAGTCCACCGTCGCCGTGCATGGCTTGTCCTCCTCCTCCCACTCTTCACTGCCACTGCGCGGGCAGCAGTCAATCAATCAGTCGGCTCATGGGCAGTGGGCATGCCTCCTCCTCCATGGATCCCCATGGACCCCGGCCCAAAACCCCAACCCCAGCCGGACCACCCACTGCATCCCACCTGCTGCAACCTGAACACAACGCTGAATTCAACATGTCAGTACTCGGGAGCAATCAGCAACGAGGTACCGACGAGGAGGAGGCTACGGGCAAATCTTTTTGATTGGGGCGGGGCAGAGGCAAAAGTCACCACCTTACCACTAGCAATTACGCAGTACCTACACGGCGCACCACCACTCTCACCCTCACCACCTGTTCACCACCCACCACCACAATAGACTTTGTCTGCTGCAGTCCTCTTCCGCCTTCCAGGCTCTCTGAGCGGCAAGAAGCACGGCTAAATTTAGCATTGATTTCTTTCCTGCTGCTTTTTCCCTGGCCACAGACCTTCTCATTCATCGAGCCGACGTTGGACTTGTCGCCATGTACCCCAGCCGAGAACAGACGCCGAAATGTAAAGGTACGTGAGTTTCGGTACCAGGCGAGGCTTCCTTACATAAGACACGGTACTTGTCTATCCGTACTTCCACCGCTGTTCTGATAGGTATCTGCGGTAAGGTACAACTCCCATGCTGCGGCCACCAAAAAAGGTCAGATCACTACAGCACCACTAGCGCTGCAACACTGGCCTGTCCGTACCTTTCTTCCCCCTCAGACTGGCCCAATAGCACGCGGCGCACTGCTGCAGCTACCTCCGCCGTAGGTGCTGCCCGCCTACCTTACCTTGCCTGGTAGGTACAAGGCCATTCATTCCCTTGCCCGCTACTCCGCCGCACCATAGTTATCGCGAAAAAAAAGCTGACAGGGTGACCCCACCATCCGCCAGCCCGTCGCCCAATGTCAACGCCCACTGCCCTCGCTCGGTACTGCGTGCCCGCCGTGCTGTGTCTACGCCTGGCCTGTGTCTTGAACGAACAACTTCAACGACTGCCCCTCTCGCTGCGATCCCGCCCTGCTCTCTCAACTCCCGACACTACAACATCGCAAGCCGGACCGACCTCCGATTTCGACCCCTTCCCCAGTCCTTTGACTCTACACATCCCCAAAGGCGCCAGTCATGGCCTGGCAGCCGGCCCCAGAGTCCTTGAGCCAGCTGGCCGCTTGCCTCAAGGACTCGCTCAGCGGCTTCGACAAGAATGCGCAGAAGCAGGCAGACCTGGTGAGCTTCCTTCCGCCAATTGCCCCGACGCCTGTCCGCTGCGGACGTTGCTGACTGACGATGCGCAGATGCTCACCCAGGCAAAGTCCTCTCCCGACATTAACAACTACCTCGCCTATCTCTTCTCCAGCCCCGACCCCCCCTCCGGCGTACAATGCTCCGCCCAGGACTATCACACCGTGCGGTGTGCCGCCGCAATGATGCTGAAGAACAATGTGCGCTCTAGCTACAAGCAGATTCCCGAGAGCAGCCTCACCCTCGTCAAGATGGCCGTTCCCATGGGCATCCAGGACAAGAACTCGCAGATTCGCAACTTTGCTGGTAACATTGCGACTGAGATCGTCAGAAGAGGTGGCGTCCTGAGCTGGCCCGAACTGCTTCCCCAGCTTCTCAGCCTCATCACCAACGAGAACGGCCAGGTCTCCAACGAGGCCCAGGAGGGTGCCATGTCCGCCATGGCCAAGATCTGCGAGGACAATGTGAAGGTGCTGGAGCGTGAGCACAACGGGCAGCGGCCCCTCAACTACCTGCTCCCCAAGTTCATCGAGGCTACCAAGAACCCGCTGCCCAAGGTTCGCG